CTCTACCTCTTCGAAACCCAGCTTGTACTTCTGGTAGTTCTCTATCCACGTACTGTTGAAGCCTAGCTTGTAGGATCTTGAGCATGACCTTGCTAGCGTGTGATATGAGTGCAATTGTGCGATAGTTTGAACATTCCTTGGCATTGCCCTTCTTTGGGATTGGAATGTATACTGATCTTTTCCAATCCTGTGGCCACTGTTGCGTTTTCCAAATTTGCTGGCAAATGGAGTGCAGAACTTTAACAGCATCCTCTTCTAAGACTTTGAATAGCTCAGCTGGGATACCATCACCTCCACTAGCTTTGTTGTTAGTAATGCTTTCTAAGGCCCATTTAACTTCACATTCCAGGATGTCTGGCTCGAGGTCAGTGATTATACCGTCGTGGTTGTCAAGGACATCGAGGTCTTTCTTGTATAGTTCTTCTGTGTATTCTTGCCATCTTTTCCTAATCTCTTCTGCTTCTGTTAGGTCCCTACCGTTTTTGTCCTTTATCATGGCCAGCTTTGCATGGAACGCTCCCTTGATTTCTCCAATTTTCTTGAAGAGATCTCTAGTCCTTCCCATTCTATTGTTTTCTTCTATTACTTTGCACTGTTCATTCAGGAAGGCCTCCTTATCTCTCCTTGCTGTTCTCTGGAAATCTGCGTTCAGTTGGGTAAATCTTTCCTTTTCGCCTTTGCCTTTCGCTTTCCTTCTTTCCTCTGCTATTTGTAAAGCCTCATCAGAAAGCCATTTTGCTTTCTTGCATTTCTTTTTCTTTGGTATGGTGGTGATTGCTGCCTCCTGTACAATGTCACGAACCTCCGTCCATAGTTCTTCAGGCACTCTATCTATCAAATCCAGACCCTTGAATCTATTCTTCACCTCTACTGTATATTCATCAGGGATGCGATCTAGGTCAAACCTGAATGGCCTCGTGGTTTTCCCAATTTTCTTCAGTTTAAGTCTGAATTTTGCAATGAGTAGCTCATGATCTGAACCACAGTCAGCTCCAGGTCTTGTTTTTACTGACTGGATAGAGCTTCTCCATCTTTGACTGCAAATTATATAGTCAATCTGATTTCGGTGTTGCCCATCTGGTGATGTCCATGTGTAGAGTCGCCTCTTAGGTTGTTGGAAAAGGGTGTTCGCTATGACCAGTGTGTTCTCTTGACAAAACTCTGTTAACCTTTGCCCTGCTTCATTTTGCTTTCCAAGGCCAAACTTGTCTGTTATTCTGGTTACCTTTTGACTTCCTACTTTAGCATTCCAGTCCCCTATGATGATGAGGACATCATTTTTTGGTGTTAGTTCTAGGAGGTGTTGTAGGTCTTCATAGAACGGGTCCACTTCAGCCTCTTCTGCATCAGTGGTTGGGGCATAGACTTGGATTACTGTGATGTTGAATGGTGTGCCTTGGAATCGAACAGAAATCATTCTGTCATTTTTGAGATTGTATCCCAATACTGACTTTTGTACTCTCTTGTTGATTATAAAGGCCACACCATTTTTTCTACGAGATTCCTGGCCACAGTAGTAGATATAATGGTCTTCTGAGTTAAACTCGCCCATTCCTGTCCACTGATTCCTAAGATATCGATGTTCAGTCTTGCCATCTCATTTTTGACCACATCAAGCTTGCCTTGATTCATAGATCTTACATTCCGTGTTCCTATGCAGTATTGTTCTTTGCAGCATCGGACTTTCCTTTCAGCATCAGACACATCCACAACTGAGCGTCCTTTCAGCTTTGGCCCAGCTGCTTCACTCTTTCTGGGGTTACTTGTACTTGCCCTCTGCTCTTCCTCAGTAGCATATTGGACACCTTCCGACCTGAGGGGCTCATCTTCCGGCGTCATATCTTTTAGCCTTTTGATACTGTCCATGGGGTTTTCTTGGCAAACATACTGGAGTGGGTTGCCATTACCTTCTCCAGGGGATCACGCTTGGTCATAGGACATAGATACACACTTTTTTCTTCACTGAAATTCTAACAATACCAAACATTATCACAATATTTTTTAAGGGTATCTGTTCATTTATCTTGTATGAATATTTGCTATTTTAATACAGTGAAGAAAAATAGTTTTCCATGCAATTTTGTGTGTGTCATATTGTTGTACTTTCCCCCCCCCTTGTAGGCCTTTCTTCCAAGTACGGGAACTCACATGTTTCCAGGCTTACAAGTGCTCCATGTGTGGGGGAGAAGGGGTGATTGGTCAAGGTGGTCAGCCATTTTTATCTTCCTCCCCCCCGGTACTTGTGACCTGGCAACATGTGGATTCCAGTAGTTGGAAGAAAAGCCTACAAGAAAAAAATGTGCCATGAATTTCCTATAGAACCTACATTAACCACTTGTACCTCCACTACTATAAGGCTGCTGCCACACACATGGAGTTTTACTGTGTGAACTGGCAAAATCCACTTTGAAAGTGCACTGAAAGTGGATTGAAAGTGGATTACTAAGCGTGTGTGGCAGCAGCCTACGTAACATTGGCCCCTGCCACACGGGCAGGAAACTGCAGAGGAGAAGTGTGGCTGTTTGCCCCGGGGCAAACTAACATGCAGTAAAGCGATCAGACCTACTGTGGAGGTTCTGTGGAGGTACTGTGGAGGTTCCATGGCAAGGGAGAGGTGCCGATCACAACACACGCCTGCGCGCAATGAAGAAGCGCGCGGCGCGGCGAACTGGTTTTCTTTTTTTGTGTACACTACGAATGCGCATGCTCCGTTGGGTGCGTGTGCGCATCCACGGAGACGTGGGGGGAAAAAAACCCTTTTCCGCAAGGGGACATGGGCGGGCGCCGGATACCACCGGAAACGCGATCAGACGCCCGCCCTTGCCCCGCAGTTTCTGGAAACTAGGGCTGCTGCCACACACGCTAAGTAATCCACTTTCAATCCACTTTCAGTGCACTTTCAAAGTGGAGTTTTACTGTGTGAACTGGCAAAATCCACTTTGAAAGTGCACTGAAAGTGGATTGAAAGTGGATTACTAAGCGTGTGTGGCAGCAGCCTACGTAACATTGAAGATAGTTGTTTCTATGCACCGACTCTGGAAACCAGGGGGACTATTACTGTAATTTGAATCATATAATTTGAATCAGCAGCAGAAGATGGAAATAATTACAGGTGCATCATTATTCTGCAACCACTTCCTTGATTTCAGCCAAAAGAACTTCAGCAGCAAAATGACAGATACACATGCTGTGACAATATGACACTTCAGCCCAGTACCTATGTCAGAATGTTCCATTTTGCTATATGAATTACACCCGGAGAATGTTCAGGTGTTAAGCTCAAACTGCCAATTCAAATAGCCTGCTGGAAACAGAGCTAGCTTTCTTCCCCCATTTCCCTTCCTATTCCAAGCAGCAGAGAGGGAGAAATAAAACAACACAAGGAGATAAGGAGAGATATCTCTGCTGTAGTCATGTAGGCAATTGTGAAGTCTTTGCCTCTTTCCCAGCCTGGCATATTTGGATAAGAGAGTTGCTGAGAATGAGTGGCCATTCTTTGTGGGAAATTTGGAAGTAGCCATTCAAAGGAGCCGTAAATTAGAGAACAGTCATATACTGGCCATTGGTCTGATCAGACATACTCTAGATATTCTAGAAGAAGAGTAAACCTAAAATAAACATCAAACCTGGAATGAAGAAGAAATTTCTGCCCTTCTCTTAACATCAGAAAGATAAGTAAGATCCAAGGATAAAGGATGAATTTAATTATTTGTTAGTTTTTCTTTGCTCAAATACTGTAGTTGTAGTGCAACTGTATTCTTGTACTCTTGTATGTCTTCACTATGTATATACTTAAAGTAAATTTTTATTCTTCTTTTGAAATTGGAGTTGTTTGGTCTGAATCAATGAGAAAGCCCCATATCTGGCATCACAAGAGAAGCAAGGGAAACTCCACATTCAGAGGCACTAAACCTCTGAATCCCAGAGCCAGGAGGCAACATCAGGGAAGGAAGCCTCTGTGCCCTTTTGTTGGCCCTCCAGAGGAACTGGTTGGCCACTATGTGAGACAGGATGCTGGATTAGATTGGTCTGATCCAGACATTGGTCTGATACAGCAGGTCTCATGTTCTTAAGTTCTTCCCTGCTCAGTGGAGGATATCTTTAACAAGCAAAATTTTAAGCCTGAGGGCTCCGTTGGGATTCCAACACAGGGTGGTGAGTGCAACTACAAAAGGACTGCCAAAGGAGGTGGAGACAACCTCAAAATAGCTGCTACAAGAGGTGGAGCCAACCACAAAATGCCAGAGAGTGAAGTCATACATAATTTGAGCAGTAATTCCTCAATATTTCAGGTAGAAGCCCTGTTTATGAACATATTGTTTAAAATATTTTCTTGCATACACACAGCTTTCCTTCAGTGATTCAGTGATGATCCTTGTGTTGTGGTGGCAGCTGCCCAGCCAATCAGATCTTCAATGGCCAATGAGAATTCCTTCTGGGCAAAAGCCCCACCTTTCCCAGCCCACTTTCTAAAAAACCAACACTTGGTGGGCACAAGGAAAGGTGTTGGAGGGTGCTATAGCGCTCATGGGCAACATGTTGGGGACCTCTATGCTAAACTTCCTCCAAAAATTCCATGTAAGGAGAGGATTCTGATTTTTTTTAAAGAAGGTCTGCCGTAGGCCAACCAACTTAAATTCTATTAGAGGCCTAGCAGTAGCAATGAGGAAAGAGAAGGGGGATAGAGTGTGATAAAAGTTGGGGACAAGTGAATTCCCATTGGCATCCACCAACTAGAGACGAGACCCAGCCAAGGAAATCCCTCATTTCCCATGGTAAAGACAAGGGCCTACCCACTCATTTTACTACAGTCCCATATAGCTAAATTGCAGAGATTCTTTCTAAATCTGTGTGTATTGGATTGATCAAATGATTAATGGACACTACCCAATGAAAAGCAAGAGTGAATTGGGGAATGTTAATCATTAATGAATGTAAAAATAGATAACCCGACATTATTTCATTTTGGAAACAACCAAAAGGGAGAAAATGATACTTACACCGGAATAGAAAGGTTCACCAGACACACAGATCACGTCTTGTTCTTGAATCGTCAAAATATCTTTAGCTAAGTGCAGCCGCACTTTGAAAGGTTCCTGGTTACCATCCTGCAGCAAACAAATCCCTGTCTTTGTCTTCAAGGGAAGAACAGGGGGAAAAAAAGTTTGCCTTAGTTTCCAAATGGCATACTGATAGGTCATGTTGTAGGATCAAAATATTTTTTCTCTTTTTTGTTTTTGTTTTTAAGCTAGTATGGTCAGTAACGCATTAACAGAGACTGGTGACACTCCAATAAATTTCCCATCTTATTGGCTAAAATTCCTACAATTATCACCAACAGACAGAAACAGTGATAGAATGATATGGTAAAATAGGTAAGCAGTAATGTTTTAGCAGCTTGGTTCATGCAATTATGATTTTTAAAGTATCTACTCATCTAGCACACATTTGGTTTCAGCATTACCTGGAACACTAGTCAAGACAGGTATTTCAGCAACCAGTGTCTTAGGGTAAAAGAGTTCAGCCTTGCACATTACAGGGGAATCATTCAGCCAAGCATTCAAATCTGCATTAAGCTCAAAGCCATCTATTAAAAGTATTTCAATTACTCATGAACCAGGAGCCTTTCTGAGATCACAACAGGGCACTGAAATGGTAAGAAGGATGCCACTTGATTATAATCCAGTAGCTCTTACCCATCAGAAACATGATTTCAAATGTGTTTATGATCATATCTTGTATTTGTTGACTGCTGAACTAATGCATGTCTAAATTCAGCTGGTCAAAAGCAACCTCTGGAAGGAAGCTTTCCGAGCCAGAGCATGACATATATCTTGATAATTCAAAACAGATGTGAAACAAGCCACAGAGTAATTCCCTAGTGGTGCCAACCTCCAGGTGGGTCCTTGAGATCTCTTGGGTTTGCAAATGAGTTCCAGATGACAGAGATCAGTTCCCCTAGAGAACATTGCTGCTTTGGGGGGTGAACTCTATGGCGTTATACCCCACTGAGCTCCCTCCCCAAACTCCACTCCCAAAACCTTCAGAAACTTCCCAGTCTGGAGCTGGCAATTCTTCAGTGCCCTGTTAACATATCTTACAATGTCAATGATACTGTGTTCCTACTGCTTTAACCACTGTTTTCAAAAGGGGCACTTTCCTTCCTTATACTGGAGATCAGATACTTGTTAAACCTCAACACACACTTTTCACGCTATGCGTATTACTAAGGCTCAACCAGTTTTTCCTATCAGTGAATCTTATACCCCTAAGTTTGATATATTGCTGCTCAACTACTCATGCCTGCCCATCCATTCCAGGTATCTCTGCCCAGTTAAGATAGGGTTGCCAACACCAGGTTCAGAAATACCTGGAGATCTGAGGGAGGAGCCTGGGAGAGTGATGTTTAGGGAAGGACCAAAGTAGGGTATAATGCCATGCTGTCCATCTCCCAAAGCAGCCAGTTTCTCCAGAAAAAGTGGAATAAAAGTTTTCAATATATAAATAAGTGAAGCATATATCCTGGAGATCAGTTGTAACTCCAGTAGCTCTCCAGCCACCAAGTGGAGGTTGGTAAACTTACTCTTAGGGCTGCTAAAACTTCCCCCACTTCATCTATACACTGCTCCAGATTAAAGATATTTGGAGGTGGATCTGTCTTTTTTTACTCCTTCATAATCATAAACTTCCACCTGTAACAGTAAAAAGAGATAGGAATTGGACCACACAAACACAACAGAAAGGGGAAGTATACCTGCCTTGAGTATCATACCCCAAAGTTACACCCCAGTACGAACCAAGCAGTTTGACACTCTATCCCCCATGTTAGGAGACTGCATACAATTTATATCATCATGCATTTAGAAGGATGACCCTACTAGGGATGAGAATGAACCAGCTCACAAACCTTTTTTTGTCATGAACTTTAGCCGGTTCATGGTTTGTGAACCGAAGTTTGTGAATTGCAGCCCAGCCACAAACCTCCACAAACTTTTAAGGCAGTTTGTGGAGGTTCATGGGGATCCCTGCTTTCTCCTCCTTGCGAAAGCCACCAAAACAGCTGAGCTGTGGGAGCAGGCTGCTCCCAGCCATTGAGCTGTTTAGATTGAAAACAGCTGAGCCACTGTAGCACCCTGTTCCCATGGCTCAGTTGTTTCAGCCTCTTATCGGCTGTGGGAGCAGAAAGCAGGGGTCATGAACCCACGTGAACTGGTTCGGTCTGTGAACCAACTTCCTGGTTCATATCAGTTCATGGTTCCGCCATGAACCATAATCTGAACCACAAAAATGACATGTCAGATTACAGGGAACAATAAACTGCTACATAAAGGTATGGCTTTACACATTGTGTATGTTTTAATTTTTGCAAGTAACATACTATGTAATATGTCCATAAAGTACTGGAATTCGATAAACCAGCTGTAGCATTCAGACTTATTAATTAATTGAGTGGGGGACACACCCTGTGCTTGTACAGTATATAAGCTTCAAGAGATCGGCAGAAATTTGAATCTCCAAACATATGCCGTATTCTCACTTCCAGCTATAAACAGAGGATGCACTACCAGAGCCTAAGAGAGCATCAGTTATAGTGATAAGATCCTACACACAGAGCACAAGGCTATATCAAGAAAACATCCACACAAGGAAATATTTACTCGGGTATGCTGAACACAACTGGCCAATTTCTTGACCCATCACTTTTTAGTCTGCTGTGGTATTATAAACTGGCTTCAGGGAGACAAGACAAATAAAATGTTGCCTTGCCCCTGGCCAGCAGATAAGACTAAGGTACTAACACTGAGTTAACTGAAAAATTGCTTCTTTCTATGTACAATTTATTGAATAAGGACATTGTCAGGGCTTCTATCTTGGATACTAGGAGAGGAGAAGTGAGACATTTTAATTATTTTATACATTCCATCAGCCAAAGAAAGTAAGATGTGGGAAAACACTTTTTGATATAAACCTCACAGGATCTCCTAATAGGAGCTGTGGACAAGCCCTAATACCTCACAAATAATCTGAGAACTGCCTGAGGTAAGATTATGTTTGGAAAATATTAAATTGTTTATATAGTTGTTCTGCTTTACTTGACTGCACACTTCTGACTTGGCTGATTACCCTATAAAATCTCCTGAGAAGCTTTATGGAAAGAGCTGTGGTAAGAATTAAGTGGCACATTACTATATAGCAGAAATAATTAGGCATCACAATGAAATTACAATACAAGTCAGCGTTGTGATGCATGTGGGCAGAGTTTATTTATACTTTGAACAAGGAAATAAAGCATGAGGGGAAAAAGTCATCCTATTTGGGGCTATGACTGGTTGCACCTGTGCAGAAATCTAATTTACATGAGTAAACTATTATGTAGTGAGGTCACAGTAGTCTCTCTGTAACCATATGGAAACTACTGCTGCTTTAAATTAAACCTTCAGTTGCATTACATCCTTTTGCACAAAGCAACAACGATGAACATAAATTAGGTACACTCTTAAGAAAGGGAAGAAAGATGATTTAAGATCTAATAAAACTTTTTTTAAAACCACCCTTACTGCTAAATATGCTCAAATTAATTTTTTGTGTTTATTTTCATATAACCTCAACTCCTGATAAGCTCAGAGACAAAAAGAGAAGCAAAGTATGTTGCTGCAGCTTCTGCTCACTGGTGACGGATGAATACCCCCACAGCTTGATTCAGAGCTCAGCCTGGCAAACTGAGCTACTCCATCCCACCCACAATCTGAATAGTAACTCATCCCCCTCCGGCCAAATTCTGCACTCTGAAATCTATCAAGGGGATCTAAATCTCTCCACCAAATCATCTGAAGTGATGCACTGTATTCATGGTGCTTGGGGGAGGGCAACAGTGTGAGGGGTTCTAGTGTCCTGGTCCCACTGCTGGACCTCCTAATGGCACCTGGTATTTGTGGCCACTGTGTGACAGAGTATTGGACTGGATGGGCCATGGGTCTGATCCAATATTGGCTTCTCTTATGTTCTTATGATCCCCCTCATGAACGCTCTCACCTAGTCCTATTCTATACCACTGCCAATCTCCCTCTCTCCCTTCCAGCTCCTAATACAACAACAGCAATTTCCCGTGTAAAAGGGAGATGGGGACCATAGTACTCTAGTGTACCAGGTCTATATCAGGTGCCCATAAAACCATGTTTTCTAGCTGAGACATCACTAGTACAGGAACTGGGGTGTTAGGAGATGGGGATGAGAAGGAGAAAGAAGGCAGAAGCTTTGTTTTCACTGCTGCTTCTTCAGGGCCATTGGATATGTTTTGGAGAAAGGAAGAAAGGTGCTGGGCAAAGTAAATTTCCTTCTTCTTCAGGCTTTCTCAGAAGCCTACACACAGGAAGCACAGGGAATTCATTTTTAAGGTAGATAATGATCACCTTGTAGGTGAGCACTGTAAAGAATGGGAAACTCTTTTCCTTAGAAAAATATACACACCTCTGGGAACCCTGCAACCCCTGAGTAATGTTCAGGAAGGTTTATTTCTAGTGCTCTGCAACATCTCCAGCCATGTTCTGCTTAATTCCCGTCTACCCATATTAACATTCTGTAGGATCTATGCTAATCAATGATTTGAAGCAGGGCAGGGGGGATAAAGTATTCTGACTGCACTGAAACTCTTCTTTACACACCTGGCCCGTTCACACAAAAACACATGCAAACCTATTCCAGAGGACTAAAGTGAGTGAGCCAAGCCATACACCTCTAGGACAAGTAAAAGAACCTACTAAGAATCCACATACATTTACACATGGAACTGCCTTCTACTGAATCAGACCATTGGTCCATCAAAGTCAGTATGGCCTACTCAGACTGACAGAAGCTCTCCAGGGTCTCAGGCTGAGATCCTTCACATCACCTACTGCCTAGCGTCGGATTCGACTAGCTTTTGAGCAAGGGAAACCTTTACCTTTACTTATATAACTTAGAAAGGTTTCATACCCTGAATGTTTTCCTTTTGACACAATTTTACAATTGCTTGACAAACCATAAGGGTACTATCATGTATTAGCTTGAACTATCCCCTACTCTCTAATGTGAAAACAAAATTTTGTAGAGGAATGTGTGTAGCCAGGCTCAGTACAACATTTAGGAGAAAGGAAACAATGACAGATTTAATTTAAAACGCCAAAATCCAGGGACAAATTCTGAGGAGGAAAATTTCAGAAGCATTCTCAGCAGAGTATTTTTTAATGGAATGATTTAAAATAAACTTCTCAGGGTTGGTCTGCCAAGTATATGCCCCTTTGATTCCAGTACTCTAGGCCCCTGACCACCTCCTTTTAGAACCAACCCATAGCCTCTCCAGTCCCTATACAATAAACCTACGTTAGGCTTATTCTCAGCCCCACTTTTGTTTCCTTCTGGGTCCTTAATAAGCTCTAAAGATTTACCATAAATGGCAATATATTGCAATTTTTGCTCACATCCTCATTCATTTCCACTAATCCATTCTTCTTTATGTGTGTTGAAACAACCTATTCTGTTTTGTCCCCAAACCCATATTATCATGTTAGTTTATGCATTGTAATGCAACTCATTTAGTCAAATGAAACATTTTATTACAATAATAATATTGATGATTTCATTATGTATGTGTTTTTAATCTAACAACTTTTCATCTTTTCTACCATCTTCCTGCCAATTATAGAATCTGGAAAGTACACAAAACTTTAGTGTATTCAGATACAAAGTTGGGAGATATGTGTAGTAAGCCATGGGTGGGAGACTGAGGAACCATGTAGTAGCCTTGGAACATTCATAATCCAGTACTCAAAAAAGAAATAGAAGGAAATCTGATAACACCCCAAAATAATTTTCACAGTTCTTCTTAGTCATATGGACATTCTTAGATATGGGGGAAATGGAAGGGTGAACTGGTGCTTTCACAACTGATTTCCAGCTGACAGAGATCAGCTCCCCTGGAGAAAAGGGCTGCTTTGAAGGGTGGTTTATATGGCATTGTAGTATGCTGAGGCCCCTCCCCTCCCCAAACCCCACCCTCTCCTGGATCCACCCCCCAAATCTCCAGGTATTTTCCAACTCAGACCTGGCAACCCTAATGACAGTGTTCTCCATATATATAACACACTCAATCTGTTCCATATGTTTGAGATTCAGAAGAAATTTTACATTTATGTCTAGTTAGCTGACACCTGATTTGTCATCTCTTAAACATAATTAATCCAAAGATATTTCTTACTAAAACATATAGAACATAATGTCCACTATAGGTATTCCTCCCACCTCCAAATTACAAACATTTGGCATTACCTCTTCACACGCAGTCCTGAAATCCATGTGCTATGGCACAGAAGAGGTATTTGTCTAAAAGAAAAGAAGCTTTTATTAGAATCAAGTTACCAGCTATTAAATGTTGAAAGTAATGGACAAAAGCAGGAAAAAACTGCATTATTGTATCCAACTGGACTCAAACTTTGTACTGCTGCTTCAGACCAACATGGATACCCACCTGAATCTGTATGCATAGGTAATGATTTGAGAGCAGCAGTGATAAAGACCAAAGGAATATATCAATTAATGTCACAGATCTTCCTCGTTTTGATGAAGCATGCTAAACTGATTAAGTATGATTAAAGGTGAGTTGATCCTTTCAAATACGTCCTGATATATTAGGCATTCCAAATTACTTTTCATTATGACTAAACTTTTAATTTTTTGGACTGTATGTCAACTTTGTATTTTGGATTGTGACCACTGAGGAAGGCCCTTTGGGGCCGAAACGCGTTTGGTTCAGTTGCACAGCACTAACCCATCTATGTATGAATGTTGAGAAGTTTTTTAGGTCTGATTGTGAATATTTTAAACTTTTAATAGAACTCATATTTTATGTTCTGTCTTTTTAAAATTTACTTTCTATAGCAATAATGTCTACAAAATAATTTTAGCATCAGTGCTTATAAACGTCCCTCTTGTACTCAATTGACTAATGTTCCCTTTTTATCCTAAATTTTAAAGCCATATATATAATTCCATTAGATTCTGAAAATGTTATCCATATGCATTCTCCCTAAGCAATCATGTGTCATTTATCAGAGGAAAATGCTTTCTTTTGTCTGAACATGTTTAAGAGCAAAAAATATCACTTGTAACATGTCCTAAAGTGCTAGCTTTCTTAACAGTGAAATTACTTGGGGAACTGGATTTTGCCCAGGTGTATTTCCCTCCTCCAGGGTACACAGCGTAATTTAGCAGGCATTTAGGTCAGACCGCTTCATGCACAGGATAGTTTTGTTAAGGGAGGGAGGAGTTATCAAGAAAGACCAATTATGGATGCGGTCACACGGAGCATTAGCCACGCTACATAGACAAAAGATAGGCAGATTTTCCAGGCGCGATCACAGCGCCACATCTGGGAAGTATAGAGCTCCCGTGGTGAACCCGAGGCTTCCCACCAAAGCTGTGGGGTAAAAAACTAGTACCTCTGAGGTACTAGTTTCCAGAAACCGCAGGGCAAGGGCGGGCGCCTGATTGCGTTTCCGGTGGTGGGTCGTGGCATCCAGCACCCGCCCATGTCCTGTTGCTAAAAGGTTCCCCCCCCCAAGTCTCCACAGGATGCGCACAAGCACTCAATGGCGCATGCGCACACTTCGTTTAAAAACACAGCCCCCTCCTCTTTTCCGTACCCCCCCACTCCTGGCTCAGCCTGCTTGAGAGGAACTGCACCTGGCAGCAGAGGGGGAGGTGCAGGGGGCGTGGCGGGGGGGCGGCCCCGCCGAAGCCCCCTCTGGAGGGGACCGGACGGAGGACACAGTTTGCATTCCTCTGCAGCCCTGGAAGGGGTTAAACCCGCAGAGCCTTTTGCTAGAGAGGCCACTTCTTTGCTGTGCTGCAGAATTCCTCCACGGGAGGTCTGATCGCTTAACCGCGCGTTTGTTTGCCCGGGGCACACAGCCACACTCCCCCCCCCCCGCATTTTCTTGCCCGTGTGACCGGGGCCTATAATGGCTAGCTGAGGTACAAGTATTTCTGGGAAGAAACAGTAATGCAAAAAGATGGAATTGTTTTCAAGGCAGAAAACTTGTGTTGAAACCCTGCTGTAAACTTGTTTTATTATAGCATTAAGTAAATCAGCTGGGGTGCTATCAGGTATCACAGAGATACCAGATATCTAATCCACATCCAGAGCCACTATAAAAAAACCCAAAATTATTACAACCCTGAACAAGAAATAAGTCAGGCCTGGATCACTGCCCAAATGGCTGCTTTGGCCTCCAGACTGGCAGGAAGCAGCAACATGAGAAGAGGCAACAATGCACACTCTTGTATCTGTCACTACCTTTGACATATACAAAGCAGGCTGCACAGGAATGTGCTTTCTGGATTCTTAGAAAGGGGGAAGGCATAGCGGGGTGCTGCCACAGCAGCTGCAGAGGGGGGCTTCAGTTCCCATGACTGGAGCTTAGGGTTGCCAGCCTTCAGGTGGGGCCTGGAGATCTCCTGCTTTTACAACTGATCTCCAGGTGACTGAGATCAGTTCCCCTGGAGAAAATGGCTGCTTTGAAGGATGGACTCTGTGGCATTGTACCATGCTGAGGTCCCTCCCCTCCCCAAACCCCGCCCTCTCCTGGATCCACCCCCAAAGTTCCCAGGTATTTTCCAACCCAGTCCTGGAAACCCTAACTGTACCCCACTGAGGTCCCTGCCCTCTCCAGGCTCCACTCTCAAATCGCCAGGAGTTTCCCGGCCTGGAAGTCACCTGAAACATCAGGAGAGATTCCCATCTCCCAGTAAAACCCATTCCCCATCCCCCATCGGCGGCCCATGGGGAACTAAAGGCTGCCTTTTGTGCTGTGAAGCACTCATCAGGCCTGAGCTGGGAGTCTGGGATTTCCCAGACTCTACATCTATACGCAGTATTGGTATTGGTGGGGCTAACTCTCCAACCAAGTCATCAAAATGGCTAGCATAATGAGGAGCTGCTGAAGTTCCAGAAGGGCTTGGTTTGGCTTGTAGCATGGGTGACTGGACTCACACTGTTGCTTTGGTCCAAGCTGGTTGGGCAGCACGGACACAGAATATGATGGGCATGCCTTGTACAGGGTAACAAAATACCTCATATTCTTAATCAGGCTCATTGTACTTGGCCTCCACGGAGTCATTAACATTTATTTACTTATCAGATTTATACCCCACCACTCCCTTAACAAGCGAGGCTCAGGATGGCTTACAACAAAGTAAAATACAATTCAATAGACAATATTAAAAGTGGTAAGAATAATAAATATATAATAAAATATAACACAATTTAAAATCACCTGTGTAAAATTCCTATTTAAAACATAGCTACATCCAACAAGCCAATAATGAAATGATCCAGGAGAAACAAGAATTGCAAGACATACATGATGACTAAAATGACATCACTGGGATTATAGCCTAAAGAGATTTGCTGTGCTCAATAAAATTCTAAAGTCTACCATAACAACAATAGGAGCTGCGGTGGCTCAAGTGGTTAAGACGCTGAACTGCAGGCTGTGGAAGGTCAGTAGTTCACCAGTTCGAGACCCGGGTGCCGCATGATGGAGAACGGATAAAAGGAAGTACTCCTTCACCCAAAGAGTGATTACCACTTGGAATTCACTGCCACAGGAAG